TTTTTTTGTCTCTGTTCTTTCTTTTTATCTGTGTCCTTTTAAGAAATGGGTTTTAAATGACAATTGGCACTGTATTTTTAGGACATAATCATCACCAATAAATGTCGACCTTTGGCTAAATTCTTGATATTGGGTTTCTTACAAATGATCCAAATAGCCATCAAAACAAAAGTTTAATGTATGGAATGTTAACATAATTGTTAACATAATCACTTACGAGATTTAGTTTGCTTTATCATCTCCGGTAGAAAAGGGAAAGAAATTACCAGATTAACTCAGGTACTGAAGGGGGTTGGATTTCTCTAAGAGGCTATTTAGAAATGAAATCATGCTGGCACCTCCAGAGCCATGAATTCAGCATCTGTATTGGGATGCAAAGTTTAGCCATACATGGACTTGGCTAAGCTTCCTCCAAGTTATTTACATCTTTGGGGGAAACTTAAAAAGAGAGTTTAAACACAAATATGCACTAAGGGCACAAGAAACCAGCTATGGGTCAAACAGAAACATCTGTTCTTTTTTCAGATTCCTCCTCATTTGAAAGCACTGACCAAAACCAGCTTAGGTCTGCCAAATCATTTTGGCATGGCAGAGCCAAAAAAAAAAAAAAAAAAAAAAAAAAAAAAAAAAGAGCAGAATTTTGAGGAGTATTTATTTCACCAGAGAGATTTATCAGTAATGATATGCAACTCCTACTATTGACATTTTGACATGACAAGCTTGTTTCTAAACCTAACATGCAAATTTGCCTTCTATGCCTTTCTGCATATTTGACATAATTTTAGACTTATAAAACATTTTTAATCTGAGTTCTTTAAATCATATTGGAGAAAGTGGTGAAGGGGAGTTTAAAATATTCATATCCAGCCTTACAATTAGAAAGTGAATATTTTATACATTCACTTATAAGAGGTTTCTACTATCATGCAACTACTAAAGCATTAGGCAATATTGTATATGGCTACTTCCTAGCACTCTATAAATAATAAAACTGTTGTGTACTCCACTAACACATGGAAGTTTTCCCAGCCTCTTACAAAATCACTTCCTCTGAGCTTTTCCAAATACCAGGACTCCTGGTCCCAGACCAAAGAAGCCAAAGTTCAAGTCCTAGGTCTCAGCCCACAAGCCCACTCACTGCAGGTACCCAGGGATACTCTGACTCTTAGAATTCTGCATCATGAGAATCAGCAAAGAAGACAAGAGGTTCTGCCCCCCAGCTCCCACTTAAAAGTTTGTGATTTCATTTTTAAGTTCACTTTTGTTGTTCATCTGCTCTCTTGTCATCTAATTAATAAGTTATTTAAAATGCAGTAGGTTAAAGCAAAGGGCAAGAATAGCTTATTCACACACTCAACGACATGTTTAAGAGCTCGGCACCACCACAGGATGCTCATGGGGGCTTAGCACTCCCAGTGGACGCTCCTCCTGCCGGCACAGGGCTAAGCACTTTTCTGTGTGCATTCACTTATGAAAATCAGCATCAATCCTCCCAAGACTAATTTTATTATCATTCCTAAATTAGAATGAAATGTATGGGCCCAGAAGTCAAACCACCTCCTTTGTCCATTCCCTTTGGGATCTGGGTCATTATGTGAGTTTTCTGGGTTTTCATTTCTTCACCTGTAACACAGAGAATGCTAACAACTGTATTAGCCCTGTAAGTGTCTAGTAGGTAAACAGTGGGTGATAAGGATGTTGTTAACAGAACAGACTGCTCACTCTATACATTTTCTTTAACCCTTTACCACAACTGGACAAACGGAAGATTTGAACCTAGTTCCACTATTTCTGTTTTGATGTTGCTGTTGGGCACCTGGAATCCAACTCACGACCCATGCTTGCCAGGCAGGCACTATGCCCCTTGAGCTGTAGCCCCAGCCCCAGTTCCACTATTTCTAAACTCTGAGCTTTAAACAAGTGGTGCAAAGTGCCACCGCCTCTCAAACACTAAAACATAGGACAGTGCCCAAATTCAAACCGCAGAAAAGCCACAGGCTAACAAGGCATTTGAGACCACCCCACCCCTATTTTTCCCTACTTTCACCAAAGTAGTCATTCCCGAGGCAGCAACTCTGGAACCAACCCCTGAAATGACCAGCCTCAGCAGAACACTCTCGGTAGCTGGGAGGTCTCTTCTACCTGGCTCTGGCCAAGGCCATGGTCACCCCTGACTCCCTCAGCCTGTTCCTGGATGCTGCTCTTTTTGCTCCAAATTGCAACTTGTAGTTTGAGAAAACTTTATATATAGCCAGCGCCCATCCTCTGCTCTACACCTTCAAGGAACTTCTAATAGGGACTACAGGCAGGTTGAGGAGAGAGGTGCGTCTGCCCTGCTTTGCCCTGACAACTGAGCTGCTCTGTTGTCCTGGTTTTGGGGCACTTTAGCGTTTTTCTCTGGGCAGTAACTTGGCAAACCTATGGTGTCACTGTGGAATCACTCCGATTACACGCTACCCTGTTAGGAAAAGCCGCGCGCCCGGCTGCTGACTGAGACACTTTGACCAGGAGGGGCAAGGTCCTGACTTGAGGAGGGGCGGCTTTCCTCTTTCGATACTGGTGATTCTGTGGAATTGGCAGCACTAAGAGATGGGGCATCTGGAAGACCCCAGAGGTTCCCAGGGACAATCCTCCCTTGCCTTGGCTTCCTTCCCCCACCCGTGGTTTCTTGGACACTGGAAGCCAGCGGGTCCCGGAGGACCCCGGGCGCCGCGGTTGCGGCTGCCTGGCGGGGTGGGGCGGCGCGGGGAACCGCCTCCCTCGTACCTTCTCTCCCCGTGGAGCACGTAGGAGCTGCGGAAGAAGCCCAGAAGCTCGTTCTCAATGAGGGCGTTGTAGATGATCTTCAGGTTGTAATTCCGCTGCGCGTCCAGGGTCCTATTGAGCACCACAACCAGAACCTGGGTCTGCGGGTAGAGGAAGAAACCGGCCACCGGGACAGCCCCGGCCGCGCGGTCCTCGGCCACCTGCACCTTCTCCACCGCCACCCGGGAGGCGTGCAGCACGACGTAGCGGGTGGCGTTCCGGCACGCGATCTCCACGTTGACCTCCCCGGAGAAGGTGAAGTTCTCCATGAAGGCGGTGAGCATCAGATTGTAGTGCAGCGGCTTGAGGTGGCCGGAGAGGCGCAGCTGCGTCCAGGGGGGCCGCTGCTCCAGCTCCTCCTCCGACGGCGGTGGGGCAGACGGGGTTTCCGGGGTGCCCACCCCGCCCGCCTCGGGCTGCAGGGCGTCCCCACCTGCGTGAGGGTCGCGCCGGGCCGGCCCCGGGAGGCTTGCGTTGCCGCCGCCCTCGGGAAAGCTGGCGGGAGCCCCGTCGGCGCCGGGCAAGGCGCTGGCACCGCACTCGTCGAAGCGCAGGCTGAGCAGCACCGCGAGCATGGTGACCGCGAGCAGTGCCACGATGGACACGGCGAAGGCCAGCACGAGCCGCCGGTGCACCGCGACGTGGCGCTCGGTAGTGCGGGGCCGCACGCCCACCGAGTCCGCCCACGGGTCGGGGAGCCCCCTGCCGCCGGCCCGGAGCGCGGCGGCGGTGTCTCCCATGGTGGCCGCGGAGGGTGAGCCGCGCGTCTGGGCCCCCTCCTCCTCTTCCTCCTCCTCCTTCTTCTTCTTCCTCTTCTTTTTCTTCTTCTTCTTTTTCTTCTCCTCCTCCTGCTGCCCCCGCTCACCGTCCAGGGCCATCACAGAGCCTCCTCCTCTTCCCCCGCCCCCTCCGGCACCCCCCGCGGGCGGGCCACCCGGGCCACCACCGGCGCCGTCATCTGAGGGCGCGCGCGGGCAGGGGCCCTGGGGACGCGGCCCGCTCCCTTCAGGACCGGCTCTGGCCGCCGACTCCAGCAGTCCGGGCGCCCCCCATCGGCCCCACCTCTCTCGGACAGGCGGCCGAGGTGCGGGATCTGCGGCGCCCAACTTGGAAAGCGCTCTGCCCTGGCGCCAGGGCGAGCAAGGCGTGGGAGGGAAGTTGGGGTTCGGCCGACCGCCGGCTCCGGTCCCGGCCGGGAGCGCTCACAGCCGCGGCGGAGACGGCAGCGACACGGAGGCTCCCGCGCCGCGCACCCTGCAGTTGGAAAGGAGAGCGGAGGAGGGGAAGCCCGGAGGGCTGGAGCGGCCGCAGAGCGAGCCTCCCGAGGACGTCCCGGGGCGCCCGCCCGCCCGCCCGCCCGCCCGCGGGGCAGCTCCTGGAGAAGCCGCCGCCTCCTCCGCCCTGAACCACACTTGGGCTGCGGCGGCGCGCGGCGTGGGGCTGCGGAGAGCAGACGGCGGCCGGCCTCGCTCAGCTGGAGATGGCAAGTACCGGGGCAGTGTCCGGCCGGGCCAGCACTTCAGGCGGCTGGAGGTTTGCTCCGCATCCCGAGGGAGAGCGCCGAGTGCCTGCGTGAGAGCGCGGCTGCATGTGCGCGCGTGTGCGTGCGTGTGTGTGTGTGTGGGTGTGTGTGTGTGTGTGTGTACTCAGGCTCCGGGTCTAGATTGCCAGAGCTGCTCCAGCTGCATTCAGGGACTGAAACTCCCGGAGAAAGGCGGCAGAGGAGAGGGCGAGGAGTGCCAGGAGCAGGGAAGGCGGGAGGGAGGGGAGTGGTTGAGCGGCGGAGGCAGAGGCAGGCGCTGGGCGATTAGAGAGGCTTTGCTCCGCTCCGTCACACCAGACACCCACAGCTCGGAGGGGGCTGCCGAGCTGCCTGCGAGAAGTGCCTGGTAAATCTTCAGCGCAACAAGCCCCGCAGTCACGCCTCTTGCCGACTCTTTACCCCACTGCGGCTCCCCAGAGGGGCCATTGGAGCCTAGGGCTGGTCCCCGGCAGAGCAAAGGAAGACCCTGCTAGGGAGACGCTGCCGTGTCCGATTTCACAGGGAGCTCGCTTGAGGATTTGGAAGGTTGCATGTAAACTGAAATAAATTCTCCAAAGCCTGACTCCCTGAATGATACTGCGCGTTGTGTCCAGGTGTGCGGTGCTAAAATAATGTCTAGCGATGATGAGGTATTAGACTCCTGGGGAAATAAGGACCAAAGAAAGGAGACAGATTTCCCCACAAGACATGATGAGAAGCTGATCAAAATATAATGCTTGTGGGACCAAAATAAGAAACAGAATAACAGTAAAGCAGAAACACCAGGGAAATGAGCCCCCCCCCCCACTTATCTTTAAACTTACTACAACGGTGAACAAATACATTCCATGATTGGTCACCTTTCCCTTCGCCCAGTCTCGGTCACTTTTGCGTGGCTTTCCAGTGTTATGGTGGAAATCATTGACACTTTGTTGGAACAGTTATCGGTAAGAATCATCAAAACAGGTCCATAGATCATTGGCTGGGTAAGGCTTCTTTCAAATTCATTAGCGTTTCAAATTATAGTGAAGAGTCTGTATGACAATATGGGATAGCAGTCTTCAGAATTCGTGCGGAGGAACTTTTATCAGAGCAATGTTTAGAAAACTGCCTCACCAAAGGTGATAGCTAAGGAGGTAGCAATCTCTAGTTTTGTTTTGAACAAAACAAAGTGCTACTGGCTTCAGAGTAAGAAAAAAAAAAAAAGTAGATAATATAAAAAAATATGAAGTCATTTCGTTCTACATATTTCTCTGATGTCTTTAAAACCTGATGGCATTTTAAAAAGCAATGCCCCGCATTATTTTTCTTGCCAAAAGAACTGTTTATGCCACTGGCTTTGGAGTGCTGAAAAGGTACAATTAAAATGTTGTGTTTGGCTTTAAAAGCATGGCTGAGGAGGAAAAAGCAAATGTACATCCACATAGTCTGAGAGCCAGGGAGAGCACAGCCCTGCTTTAGCAAGCTCTTTTCCTTTTCCTTCCAGGTTGGCTACATGATCGCTTACTACCTGTGCATGCACCCTAGATGTCCATGTGAATCACTTTCAAATGCTGAGGAATGTACGTGCCAGGGCGGGTTTGTAAGCATGTTGTATGTGGGCCGTTAGCACAGACCAAAGGAAATGCCACATTCTGTTCAAGTTACTTATTTCTGCTTGGTTTTAAATGTCTGTGCTCTTGCTGTTCATATGTATCTGGCTGTATGCATTTTAAGAGTTGAAGGGTTGGGGTTCCTTATCAGATTGTTTTCACAGAGTTAGGTACCTTCCACAAGTCCTTGGACTTCTCTGACTTAAGAAATGTAATCTGGTCCTTCAGGATGACTGATCTAAGTACCATCATGGGTTGAGCACCTAAGAGTATCAGAACATTCTGGAAGCGCCTGCATGGGTGTGAGGACCACTGCCTAAATGAAGATGCTACCCACTAAGTGATCTGTAAGACCTCTTTGAATGATATTTGTCAAGAAAGAGTCTAGAGGCTTTTGTTCCTGCTCTTTACATCTCATAAACATGTTTATGTACTCCTGAAAATTCCCACAAAGCAGCTCTCGTATTCTTTTGGGATTAAATAATGCTTTTATAAATTAATAAAGTGTCTAATGACTGATTAAATGAGTAAATGTATTGTTTCTCAGACCCACCTGAAACAGACACAAGTTCATTAACATGAAGAGGCCACAGTTTATTAGCTCATTAATTCCTCTTCAGTGTAACTTTACCCAATAAACTCTGTCAGAGATCAGGCACGTTAAGGATGGTACGGCCACAGACTAAATTCAGTATCAACGTCAAGTAAATATTCCTTCCTCTCCTATTGGTCTTACAAAAGGATTGTGATTTTTCCTTTTGTAATTTCTGAAATTATGTATCACCCTTTCCCTGAGATGCAAGCAATTAGTAAAATTAATTTTTAATATATTCCTAGAAAATGTTAACTCTACCTGCAAATGGAAAAAACAAAATTTCAGATTATGTATCTAACAAAAATATTAAAGAAATTATTCACTTATACTTCATTTAAAAATTGCCTTCAAGGGCCGGTGAGATAGCTTAGCCATCTAAAGTGCCTGCTTAGGCAAGCTTAGGCAAGCGCAGGAACCACAGTTGAATCCTGGCACCACATGCCATGCCAGCCCTGCCCCAGGGCAGGCTGAGCCATAAATAAATAAATAAATAAATAAATAAATAAATAAATATTGCTTTCAATATTTAAGTCCTTGGATTAAATTGACTTTTCCAATGCCCGAGTCATGAATTGTGCAGTGTTATCTAAGTAAGGGAATAAAACTTAAAAAGCCTCATGCTTCTGACAGGACCATGTATTTATTGGGCCAATGCCATGATTATTTTCTTTAACTAGTAAATGTCATTAAAGTCATGTTGTGGCCATCATTGATTCAGAGACTGCTAAAAGTGGATGCAATCAGAATGTTTAATATTCATGAGGTCCCAGAGAAGTGGGCTATAATTGAATCTGCACCTTGAACCTGTAAGTAATCAAACTGAGCTATCTTCCACGAATGTGCTAGTTTCCAAGTCTTTGCACTTGAATGGCTTTTTCTCTGTTCATACTGGTTTCTGTAGACAAGCGATGTCCTTATTTGCTCAGTTCCTTCAAGTGTGATTAGCACTTTGCGTCCAGAAACAGCTTAGCTCAGAGGAGTGCGATGCGCCTCTGCCCTTCCTCCTTCTAGGATCCTAACCCATGTACTTAATGGACTCAGTGTCCTCAAGTGTGAGTGTAAAGGAGTTAGGATAAAGACTTGGAGGTCTCTTACAGCTCTAAAATCTGTGAAAGAAATTCACTATCTTCTTTGTGCTTTCAAGATATTTTAATCTTTTCCATGAAATCAAAAAGGATTGCAATTAAAACCTCAACCTTTAATGGGGAAAGAGACTATAAAATATATTGTACTAACAAAAGCATATGTGGGGATAAAAAGACACACACACACACACACCTTATGGCATAGACAGTCAAAACAGAACTGGTGTGTTTCATGATGGGAACGTGCTCCTATAGCCTTCACACAATCGCAGACTAATGCTGATGATAGGTGCAGAAGTCCCTGTTAATCAGCTAGAGTGGTGCCGCCGTGTGGCAAAAGCAAAAAAAGAAGAAAAGAAACAGTAATCCTTTGATGAAAATTTCAATTTAGGAAGTTCATCCACAAACATTTTATTAATATTTCATATTGCACAATGTTTAAAATTGTGTAACATGTGCCCTGCTCTCCAGCACCTGTCAGCATTGGCGAGAGGTTTCATACAAGGGTCATGCTTCCCAACAAAGCATTCCTCGAGATCTTAAAGACAGAGAGAAATATTTAAGAATAGGCATAATTGAGATAATATTTCATGATGTCTATAGTTCATCAACTAAAAGACACATCTTGATTTGACTATCAGCTGTCAGCACAAAAAGGGACCTTTCAGATAGCAAATGGAAGAAATGGCACGACCCATGACACAACCCCCAACTCTAGCATTAAGTGTCATGTCCAGAAAACAGCACTAGGATTTAAGGAAAGTTGTACTCTTCTTTGGAGGACTCTAATGCTAGATTTACACTCTTTGGTTTATGATCTCTCTAAGAAAGCTCCATAAAAAGCCAAGTATGGATCATGGAAATGTTTATAGTTTATTTATGAAAGCTACAAAGATAATATACACTAAAGTCTACAAACAGAATAGAGGTTGGTTAGCTTTCCAAAGATGTTTCCATTTAGCCAGCCAGTGTGTCTAGGGGTGTGGCTCAGTGGTGAATTCTTAAGGTCCTGGTTTTGAG